GACTAGTAATAGGGGGGCGGTAAATAGCAATTCAGTAAGAAAATTGCCTGCTTGGCCCAGAAGCTTGAAGTGAGTTCACATAAATAATCAAAAAAACAGCATAGTTTTCAAAACGTTTTATTATTCGTGGCAACATTTTACATCACATAGTTCCGTTTTCACTACGAACTTTATTTTATATGAATTCATTCATCCACAAAAAACTAAAACACTCAAAGGCACTCTCACCTGGCATTACGATTAAGGAACGAAAACTAAAGACAGGCCAAACTAATGTAAAAACATTACACTAATGAGGGAAAAAAAAACTGAAACCAAATTACAAAAGCATACATTTTAGAATCGTCTCAAGTCTCAACACTATCCATTGTAGGCTTTTTCAAGTTTTGTAACCAATCAACTGATCAAATTTTCAGTTCTGAATATAAAGAAGAGAAATAGCCAAAATGAAACAGAGATAACAGTAAGGCTTCTCTCATCCAAGCTTTAACAGTTAAGCAATCATACTTCTACGAGATATAAGCATACAATATAAAACAACATAATCAAAAGTATGTCATTTTAAGCATAAATCATGTATATTTTGTTAGACGCATATCGGTTAGGCCACCTCACACAACAGTTTGTGCAGAGAAAAATGCTCCAATATAGCTAAAGATGGGTCGACGAGAAAATTGTTCGAATAAGAGAAAAAAAAAAAAAGTTAAGCGAATGACAAGTCGTTTGTTTGTGTGCGTACTTTTGGGAGTATGAATGTTGAATGGGTACTTGAGACTTGAGAGCAACTGAATGGATAATCAAACTTTTAATTTTGTATTTTGTTGCACTTTGCCATATAATTTAATAAATATTAAAATAGGTTTAGTTTTACTTCACACTTGGCAATATAAAATAAGAGCCAAAAAAATAAAAAAAAAATTGTTATGGAAATTGAATTTATTTTTGTTGTTTCATTTTGGGTACATTCCAATTTGTCCATTTTCATCCTCTTCCTTCTTCAATGTTCCAATCTAACAAACTTTAACCATTAGTCCATTAGCACATTAAAGCATCACCAATAACGTAACAGTACAAAATCATAGCAAAACAACATCTTGAGTTACAAGAACACACACTACATCAAGTACATTTCCAAATTTTCTACTCTTTTACATACATTAGCTTGCTATGCATCTCGATCGAGCTCTCGCAGCAAACAGACGACACCAACGAACACCACACAGAAACCTCGGGCGTTTTCGCCTGGCTAATCATCTCCTCAACCCACATAAAGGCTCTATACGTATTCCCAACCGAACAAAGACCCTTTATAACCCTATTATAAATCTCTTCCCCGGGCCAATACGAGCTAATACACATCTTCTCCAACACTCGACTAGCCTCCAAATACTTACCGTCACAACACAAACCATCCACTAAATAACTATATGTCTCCCTATCGGGTACACAACCGACTTGCCTCGAAATCTTCTCAAAGTACCTCACTCCCCAATCACATTCTCCGGCATCACAAAGCCCTTTTATAATAACATTGTGCAACCTCATGTTCGGCACACAATCACTAGCGATCATTTCACATTCGACCACATGGACCGCCTCTTGTACCTTCCCCAACTCAAATAACGCTTGTACCTTAGCTTCGTACACCGGAAAACACGACCCGAAACTTCTCTTCCGCATCTCGTCGAGCACCTTGTCACCCTCGGAAATCCTTTTTTCAGAGTAGAATTCGATAGCCATTGGTCCGTAGCCGTCCGAGCTAGGAACCCCGCCTCTCAACAAAGCCTCGTTAATCAAACCTTTCACTTGAGTAATGCCCATTTCATCTTTGTAGTATATCTGGCTTAAGTCAAGCGGCTTGCGGTATTTTTTTGGAGCCTTTAGTCCTTTACGTAAAACCTTCTCGAGTACCTCAACGGCTTCCTCCACGTCCCCATTGTCACACAAAGCCTCCAATAGAGTTCGGTAAATGGTGATATCAGCCCCACATCCCTTTTGGGAAATCCTCCAAAACATCGAGTACAACAAATGTGTCGCCTCGTGAAGTCTTCCGTCACGGCACAAACCCTTCATCAATATCCCGTAAGTTTCACGATCGGGATAGCACCACAAATAACCCATTTCTTGGAAAACATGCAAGGCAAGATCCGAGCGGCTCGACTTGCAGAGAGCATCTATCAGCAGCTTCAAGGAAACCATTCGAGACTTTATTTCCCACCCGCGGCAATTCTCGACAAAAAAGTTGTAGGAAGCTTCCGGATTGTTCTCCTTTAACATTATCTCCAAAAGGGTGTTGAAGGATTTCGTGAAGTCTACACAATTGAATTCGGGAAGGCTTTTGAAGAGAGAGATTGACTCTTCTAGCAAGCCAGCATTTGCGTAAGTTCTGATTATGCTGGAAAAGAGGGAGTCTTGGCACTCGCACGAGTCCTCCTTCATGCGTGTGACGAGTTCTTTCATCTCGCCCAGCCGGCCCGAAGTAGCTAGGATTCGGATCATGGTGGAGTAGACCGGCCCATTATGTCGGTAAGTTGGATATCGGGCTTTGGCTTCATTGAAAAGTTCCAAAGCCTTTAACGGGTTTTTCTGGCTACGTATAAGCTGCGAGAGGTGAGTGGGTGTCAAAAGCCTTGGCCACCTTATACTCATGGAGTTGAAACACCAAGACTCTGTTTTTGTAAAGAAGATACATATCAATTTAGAAGTAAAATTGATAAGCCAACATAAAAAATAAAATAATAAAAAAAAAATGATGATGATGATGATGACAAAGATCCGTTGATCACAAGTAGCAACAAAATCAGAGTGAAATGATTAAAATACATGAAGACTCATCATCGTCCAAGTGTTTCAGGCAATTTATCAAACATCTTCTGTGCAAGCTCGAAGATAGCTTGAATACAAGAACAGGTGAAATTCCCATTACTGCACTACATTGGTACAAATTGGGATTTTTAACTTCGATTAACCTAAATCATAAAACACCATTGTAATGCTTCGGTTATACAAGAAAAGTACCATCGAGATCTTCAAATCTGCAGAACAACATATACCTGAGCTGATCGAATGGATATTTTATGCGCAAACTGAATGATGAGATCGATCCTGTCAATGGGAAATTGTCTGTCTTACATACATAATGCTTGCAGGAGTTTTAGGAATCTATCATATTGCTAGTAGTTTCAAAAAACAAACTTATGTTTACACTTCTCAACAAGTTGCGTCATTCAAAACATTATTTTTACTCCACACCCAAGAGACCTTATAAACCGAGCATGTTTCTCACCTACTTTTAATTAATATTACTCTTATATTTTTATTAATATTTTAAAATTATAACTCTACTTTTATTTATTTATTCAGTCTAAGTGTTTCATATATTTATCATAAATATGTATAAAAAATAATATAATTTTATATAATTATATTACATTATTTACAATTAAAAGTGCACATAAGAATTCTAAAAAAATTAAAACAAAATAAACAAAAATATAAACCGACATAAACATATTATTTCAATTTCTAGTATGGTACATCACAAATTACTATTACATTTTTATATGTTAATTTATATTTAATTTCATGTTTATAAATGAATATTTTTTTAAATTAATAAGTGTTCATTTATATTTTTTTTCAAGAATTAAATAAGAATAACACGTAAATATAAAATATTGATTCTAAAAACTAAACAAAACTTAGACGATTATTACAAGGTATAAAAAGCATGAAAAAACTAGCTGATTCAAAACTAAATAAATCACTTCAACAATATAGTTATTTTCCAATTCCCTCATGCTTGAATTAATATGTTTGGCAACATGCATAAGCAACCTTGCAGATTCAGAAAAAGGATACATAAAAACCAGGCAAATGAAAGAAGCACAAAAAGCACATAAAGTTCTGTACTTGATAGGTCTAAGGGCAGAAACTGCCCCTGCACAAATTGTATAATTAGTAACTACAGATAGAATGTAAGGTCACGCTTCACAAATGTTATTGTTAGACTGTCTTACGGTACTCTATACAAAAACACACACGCAAACACATACGAACCCACAAATGGCCACCATTTCCAGCTTTCAAACATTTCCCCATGCAGGATTAACAGAAGAATCTCCGACCACCGGGCCATTAATAATTTGAGGCCCGACCACAAATCCACCAACAGCAGCATATGGGTTCGTCCCCTCCATTGTGGGTCCATTAATCGTCTGATGATGAGGCCCACCAAAGTTGTCTGGACAGCTGCTTTTTCCGTGAAAAGTAGGTGGATACGAATTGTCTGAGTTTATGTACAGAGTTTGCTGGATTGGAACTACTGATATATAAGCATAGGAGAGTTTCGTTAGGACAAGAGGAACAGTATGGAGACTAATTGCACACATGGGTCATATTATACGAGCAGAAATAATTACCGCTGGCGCTAGCCCTCGTCTTGGCATTTATTAGCTCCACTCGTAATCTTTCTACTTCTTCAACTATAGCAATCAGGTCTTTCTCCAAAATCTTCATTTCCTCCACTTTCTTCGTGTTCAAATCTTTCTCGTATTCAAATCTCTTGCTTCATTTTCCCCCCACGAAAAAAAAAGGAACAAATAAATAAATAAAATAAGTAATGATGCAGCTACTAGTTAAACCATCAGAAATAAGTAAGCTGAAAGCAGTCTTTTAAAACACTAACAGTTTATACCACCTACCATAGCCTCTTGTGCTCCTTCCTCAAGCCCTCAAGCTGCGCGTTCATTTCTGGAAGTTTGTCAACATTCGCACGGGCATTCTCCAATTCTATATTAGCCTGCTGAATTCTAGCAATCAACTCCAACTTTTCTGTCCTCAAGTCCCTCTCTTCATCCTGTGCCACCTCAAGTTCCTTCTTCAAATTCTCCCCTGACCTGATATCATCTTCCAGTTTTGCAATCTTGTCCAACAAAATTTGAATTTCGATATCCCCTTCATTTTGGATACTCCGAATGTTTTCTCTGAATTTACCTGCCTCCCTCTTTGCGGCCACAAGATCCTGCCTCAGGGCTAAATGGCTGGACGCTAGTGTACGGTTGTCCCTAGCAAGTCTTTCTATCTCGGCCGCCTGCGAAGCCAATTTCTCCTCTAAAACCACGGCAAGAGGGATTTGTTCCCTCAGGCGGTGTGGAGGAGGTAATGGCCCACGACGCAATCGTTCGTCGTATGCTGGTGGTATATTTCTTCTCGAGTCCATGAATAGAGACGATTTCTTGAACTGTGAAGAAGCAAGAAAAGGCGACCGACAAAGCTTCAGAAATTAAGTTGATGTCTGGACTTTCCACCAGAAAGATTGATGTCTGGACTTTCCACCAGAAAGATTGATGCGATTGTCAAATATTATTTGCGTGAGGGGAATTAGGTTTAGGCTTCCTCACTATCATGAAGTGATGAGATTGGACACTAGGAAAAGTATAATTCATGTCTGTATCCATGTTTAATATGCAGCATAAAATCTAAGCGCCATATATATACAAAAAGACTTGCTTAAGAAATTGCTAAGCCTTCAGCACAGGGTGTACATTTTCACATGGGACCATGGTTGAAGACTCCATCCACGACATTCAAGAAATGCAAAAAAAAAAATATATATGTGTACAAATTTAATGAGAAGAGAACTTTGCGTCAATTATATCACCTAAACATGAGGTATAACATAATGTCGAAGTTGGTGCATGGGGAACATAGGAATATAGAGAAGAACCCTACAGTTTACAGCTTACACTTGTCCTCACGGTAGTCAAATAAATTGACAATGC